CTTCAGTGGGAAAATATTGGGAAAAATATTGGGAATATTTTGTCGTGAAAACAAATCAAAACTGTTATGTTGGGGAAATATTGGGGTGTGTTAACACCACTCAATTTTCCCCAAATTTATTTGTATTTGGGACATGATCTTCCAAAAGATGGGAAAATATTGGGAAAAGAACTTATGGTATTTACTGGGCGAACCCAAATCTAAGAAAAGATTGGGACATACCTCTCTTACCTTAAAGAAGTTTGGGTAATAAATTGGGAATTTTAGTTCTGAAACAGGTAAATGTCACTGTTTTGGGAAAAATTGGGAAAATTTAAAACTAGTTAGAAGTGGGTCTTTTTCCACAATGGACATTTCTGGGCTCACTTTTTGGGTTATCTATAGGAGTTTTCCCAAATCTTGGACTCTAAGAAAGTAAAGAAGGTTAATATTGAACACAAAGCTTGTATTAAACGTGGTATTAAAGTTGCTTTTATATAATATAGTACAATTGAAAGATAAAAAATGAAAGTAATGAGATCAGACATATGTGGTGTTGACTTGCATATTAAACAACATACTATTAGGCCAGGGGTGTAGGAATACATATACTGTTGAAAACTGGACATGGTGATTACAAGGATATAAACTTTCCCAAAAGACAGAGTCTATGGATTTTGTTTAGCTCATCCAATTCTACACATGCTCTTCATACTATCATTACTTATAATGAGAAACAAAAAGCTTCTCCTTCATTTATATTACAAACTAGAAAATTCCTATTTTAGCACTAGAGGCTAATAAATAACCACATTGTATAATGAATGTTTAGTAACCTAATTTCATTGTATTAAGACCAATAATCACTGTAGTCATTCATTCTTTCTCCACTGTGTGCGAGAAACCCACTCCCCACTTGCAATTCCAATGACAGAGTCCCATGAAACAGTGTTTCTACCATGCCTCCCTTGCATCTCCCTCACAAAGAGATTCTTGTGCCTGTTACTTTCAACAAAGAAAAAAACATCAACTGTTCTTTGACAATGGTCAACACTTTGGACATGGCCAAACCAAATTTCATGGAATAGTTCACCCTGAATTGACAACATATCTCCACACTCAATATAAACTGGTACAATGATGGTGTATGGTAGCTGTCTTGCTTCCCTCTGGTAGTCAGCAACAGAAATTACACCACTGCCACAATTATAGAGTATAACCTTTCTCTTGATACAGTCAAGTGGAAAAAACAATTGCTCGGGATCTGGTTCAGACCTAACTTTAATAAACCCACTCCAGAAATCCCTTGCTTGACTTCCATCCTCTGCAGGGAGAGGAGGGTAACTTGGCCCAAATGCCAACAGCATTGCATGTACTGTTTGTTCGCATCTTACAGAGAAAAAGTTGTTTATCAATAGCACTGTCTCTTGGCCATTGATGTCTGCGATAACAGTCTCTCCTTTGTAGACAACAGA